TGTTTGTGTTCGAAATGGTTTCCATTGTGGTTTTTGTATATTTGTAAAAAAAATTTTTTTTAAAGAACTTTTTTTTTTTCAGCCACAAATTATGTATCACAAAAATATATTAAATATATTTAGATTTATATATACATATATGAAAAAATTAAATTTTACCTGAACTACAACAATTCAGCATTGACACCCTAAAATTGCGACAATCATTTATTAATATTGAGAGGCAATTATGGCAAACGTCTGCACATAATTTATATAGAATTTTTCAGTATCACATATATCATATATATATATAATTTCTTCTCTTTATATATAATCAATCATAAGTCATTGAATAATAAATTGTTAAATTTAGCCATTACACTAGTATATTTGGGCAGATCTTGAGGAATGACATCCACATAAATAAACAACTATACATCTATATACTCAAAACCCATTACTTTAATATAAACAAAGAACATTGTATTATATCTTTTTTAGTTTAAATTAAATTACATTAATAATAAAATAAAAATAAACAATTTCATTCATTCATTCATTTATGATTATAATTTACCAATTTAAATTAAATTGTTTCAGGTAACCTTTCTATTGTATACTTTCTTTTTGATATATACATAATAGGTATACCGGGTATTTTACGAATACGTCGTTTCAAATCTTTATCACAAGTTGCGACTATATAACATTTATTCTGTAATTTATTAGAGAAAAAGATAAAAAAGATTATTAAAAGATGAAAACAACTTTTAAAATTTTAATTATAATTTAATTTAATAGTGAATTAATTAATTGCCTGAATGACTCTTTGAACTATACAATCATCAGCATATGTGCCTTTATGTGTACACTTGAATCTTTCAAATCTAGGATCTCTTGCAACACTATTATATTTTTTTTAAAAAAATTAAAAAATTTTACAAATGCATGTTATGATAATGATGATAGTGATTATAATTTTTTCGAATTTTTTACCGTAATGCAATTCGATATTTTGGACCTAATTTTTCCAATTCTGCAATTACACAATCTGTTATACACGGAATACCTAACAATCAATCAATCAAAAAAAAAGATTAATATCTACCAACACCCATATACACATAAAAACCACCTACACACGAAAAAACACACCCCACATGTACATACACACACAAATATAAATTTGTATCAACTTACATTTAGCATATAAACAATCCATCATAGCTTGTATAAGTTCCAATTTATTTTGAATTGAAAAATTTATAAAATTTGTATCGACTAATATATGATATGGTGGACCTAAAGCTGTATTATGTCTAAAGAAAAGTGATGATGCAACTTGTGGACTATTTATTTGTTTAATTTTAGAGTAAAGGAAATAAAAAATAAACTTGTTATTTTTTTTTTTTTGCAGTGACAATAAAAAGATGTGAAGATATTGAAAGTGGTACTTGCATGTTTCTAACCAAATCCTTTTCTTTTTCTTCCTTTTTTTTTTTTTTTTCTTTTTGTTTTTTTTTTTTTTTTTTTTTTTTTATGAAAATTTGTTGAAGTGGCAAGTAGTAATTGAATTTTAAATTGAAATTTCATATAATTTACGTAATTATGTAATCACAAAAAATCATTGTTCCTGCATAAAAATATAAATGATAATATTATTATTGTTATAGTCATCATTATTGTTAACTGATATTGAAGCTCTTACAATCTTGAATCATTGGGATTTAATAAACGTTTAACTTGTGCAAATTTTCTAGTTTTTTTTGCTTTACCCTTTATTTATTATCAACAAAATTGAAAATAAGTAATTGAGACAAAAAAAATAAAAAAAAAAGCAAGAAAGGTTGTTGCATTATGACGATTAATAAAAAATACCATTTTTCTAATCAAAGCTTTTGATCTATGTATAAAAAAATTATCGCGTGACTTGTGTCATATGCTCAAAATGGAATATTTATATGCTTGTCGATGATCCTGGCTAAATTAAATTAAAATATGGGTGCGCGAAAGTCTAAAGATCCAGATTACTTGCCATTTATTTCTGACCAACTTAGAAGTATGGTTGATAGTCCAAACCAGACAATGATTTGGATATCATTAAGCTTAAATTGGAACAAAATGAAAATGGTTTTAAAAATGTTCTTAAGGCAATTGAGAAAAGACTTGGCAAAATGAAAATAATCTTGAAGAAATTAAATGCTTATCATGTATTTTACTAATTATAGATAAATATTGCATCCTGATGTTATTTAGTTTTGGTGATAAGGATGTGAAAAGTTCAACTGCTTTTAAAACCATTTAAAAATGGCTTAAATTTTCACAATTATTTTGTCAAGTGCGGAGGGTGTGGAAGAATCCATACACTACAAAAAAAAATTAGAATACTAATATGGAATTTTATGACAATTTATTTATGATTATGGATGTCAAAAAATCTCCTTCTTGATATTACAAACTCATGAATCACATAATTCAACAAATATATACAAGTTATAAAAAACTAAAGCTCCGAACGGTTCGGTTCGGTTTGAATGGGTTTTAGGCTAAAAATTACTTGGCAGTTCCTGATATTCTGATTTTTGCATTCTGGTTATTTAGAATTAAATTTATTAATTTCTAATCTAATAGACTTACTATAGCAACCAATATCCTGGTTAAATGAGTTTTTTCTGGAAGCACAGACTTAATTACTCAAAGGTGTTGTAGTTAGGACCTGAGCTTGAATGCATTTAAAAAGTTTGAGGAGATAATGAATTTTATATATTTCTCTGACTATACTTGGATATTATGCATATGTTTATCATATTTTATAACTGCTGATGTAGAAATAGTCA